CCACCAATATCTGGATTATTTTCATCCAGGCGGGTAGTTTGTGTTGCCACAATTTCTTCAAAAGTCATGATCTGGTTGGTGTTTTGGAACATGCATTTTATTTTCCATAGTGTATTGTATTTGTTTTGGTGAATTCTAATAATTGGTTAAATATGATGTGGCTTATATACTTAACTGGTTGGTGGTTTGAAACATGAATTTTATGACTTTCCAATATAATTATTGGTGACTTTCATCATCCCAACTGACTTTCACTCATATATTTTCAGAGGGGTAGGGCTCAACCACCAACCAGTTATAGTAATAATATGGCAATCCCAATGGTAATAACTACATCAGTATGATATGGTAATAACCATCATATGGTAGTATGGTAATAACAACCAATATAAGCAGATATAACTATAGTTTTCCCATGTTATACCCTCTGGTAAACATAGAGATAACTATGGAAACTCATATTTTCATATTTTTTTAGTGGGGCTCAAGCACCAGATCTAGTCATGGAATCCCTGGGACCCATTTTTTTGCTCCCCCGATGCCGCTGGATGCCACTGGTTTCATGGGTCATTAGCTTTGCCTCTCCAAAAAGTGTATTCTGATGCTGGTGACTGGTAGATCTGGTAGTGTGACTTGAGGGATATGTGATATATGCATATATATATATACATATATATATATATATCCCACTACTTCCAAGAACAAAGTTAAACGTTGTCGTCCAAGTAAAGCCATGACTTTACTTAAAGACACTCATTGACTGCTGATATATTGGCCATACTAAAGGTCAAAAAAGGGTGACCTTTCCCCTGAGCCTAATCGAATCCGTAAATCAATCCTCAAAATTCTGAATAAAAATATGTGGTTTCCATGCTCAAGTTTTTGATTGGTTTTCACGGGTTTTTCACTGTCTTTTCACGGGTTTTTCACGGTCGTTTCACGCACTTTTCACGCTCTGGGTTTGGAGTGGGATTTGTTTGAAACTCTGGATTCCGGTATATATTTATACTATTTTATACTAGTACTCATTGGTTCTGATAATGCCCAGTAAACACATGTCGCTTCCAAAGACCAAGTTAAATTTTGTCGTTGTGAAAGCCCCAGTTAAACTTTGTCGAAGACTGAGTGGGTATGTTATATCATTCTATAATGCAAAGAAGGACCCACCAAAAAATAGGCTGGTCGACAAGCTCATCCAACTATAGACATATTCATCATAAATCCCAGTTATTTTCTAGTTGCAGACCAACTTACCTATCTAACGGGCCCTTCGAAATGTGGTGGAATTCAGCCCCTTGGCAGCTTGAGGAAGGCGTTGCTGAGGGCATGCGTCTCACGGTACAGGATACGAGCCAGTTGCGAGAGAGGCGCTGCTGATTTTGTTGCACCGTGGATGGTGAGGAAACGGGAGGTTTTTCATGGTCATCGTCGATCGTGATTAAAGTATCAAACATCAACAAACATCATGGTTTTTCATTGGGATATAACGGAACATTTTAATGGGTAAATCCACTATAAATGGTGATTTTCAATAGCTATGTTAGTTTACCAGAGGGTATCTGCATGAATTGGATAATGACTTCATTCGAATACATCACTGGAATGATGGGAATTGGATGCGGGGAATCATCCCATCTGCAAATGGCCGCATGATAGTTTTGCTCGTTTCCAGTCAGTGAATCATAAAAATCAACCAAAATAGTGCTTCACCAGACCTACAATGTGGGGCCCCCAGTCGATAGCGTTCAGTTGCCTTATTTTAGTGGCTGAATTCCATGGTTTATAGTAGATATAACGAACTAGTTAATAGGGTTTATAAAGCAATTTATAACTGGGGGGCACCACTTTGTAGCAACCAGACCCAGCAATGGTCAAGCCTTGTCTGACTGTAGATTCAAATGATTCAAATGCACAGTTTTAAAACATGTGCCCAAATTGGAGAATGCTTGACATTTTGTTTCTTGTGAGGGCTTAAGGCGACTCACCAGTTCAAACAGAGATTTGTATCAACATCAGGGCCCCTTCCAAAAATTGTGGTTGGTCCCAAGTTAAATAGGCTCCTATTGATGGAGATTTTAAGTACTGACGGTTTGGACCAACTGCTGAGACCAATTTGTTTGCCAAACTTCGCATGTGTACCGGTTTCTGTTCCAAAGAAATCTCTATATTAGTCGACTTACATTCCAGTTTCGATTGGTTCTGGGGAACATGTTTCTTTCTGTGGTTCCCTGATGTCATGGTACTTTTCGGGAATCTGCGAATAAACATCCCCATATGCTCCATGGTGCTGGTATATTTACCTACAAGACTGGGCCATTTGTTGGGTAAATGTAGGTGTATATTCCAGCACCATGGAGCATATGGGATCCCCAAGGGTGGATGAAATCCCAATCAGTTGAAAGCTGTCAGGATAGGCCAGCAGACCCGCAAGGTCTTTGCTTCCAAGGACGATGTAAAAAACCCGTCGTGGGATCCCGTGGGGTAACCCGAGAAAATCTGGGGTCGGGAGAGCAAGCTATATCCCCAACATTTTTCAATACCCAGATGCGAACCATGGTGCTGGTATATTCACCTACATTTGGGCGATTTTTCGGGCAAATGTTGGTACATATTCCATACTTGGAGCATATGGGCTATACTGTACCCCATTTTCAGACCACATTTGGTTCAAATTATGGAATGGATCTTGAAGGATAAGAGGATAGATATGGGGGCAGATAAGTCAGTCGCATAAGATGATGACAGATGATGGCCAGTAACCACCAGGGTTCACCTGCAAAACTGCACTTTTCTGTCTTTGGGAAGCGCGTCAAAGAGATGGGAGGGTTAAGGGAAAGGAAACTGACATCATGACCCATATGTTCCATGGTGCTGGTATATCTACCTACAAAACTGGGTGATTTTGGGCAAGGGCAAATGTACCCTCTGGTTATTTAACATAGCCATGGAAAATCACCATGTTTAATAGGTAAAAACCATCTATTTCTATGGGCCATGGCTTCCATGGCAAACGGTTAAATAACCAGATGGTATACCATCATATATCCTAATAATTCCCATTAAATCCCATTAAATCACCATTAAAATCCCATTTTCTATAGCTATTTTGTTAAATAACCAGATGGTAAATATTCCATCATATTCCATACAGCATTGTACCCTCAGCACGTCTCAGCACCGTGGCACATCCCCGTGGCCGATGGCGCCATCGACCTTGCTACCGGAAGGTATTACCGGCCTGGTCAACGTTTACAAAAAACGATGGGAAAACCATGGGAAAACCATGGGAAAACCATGGGAAAATGGTGATTTATATGGAAAGATCATGAACGATCCACCATGCTATTAATGGGTAAATCAACTATTTCGACTGGGCCATGTTCTATGTCGCTTTTTGTATGTTTACCAGAGGGTAGTCACCTGGGAACATCATATATAACCGGTAGATTTTCCATTGCTACGTTTGAGTACCGGTATTTCGTGTCAGCCCGGATTTTCCAGGAACCCCCAATTCATCAATTCGGGGGAGTTCCCCACATTTTCAGATTCTCCTTTATAAATGGTACCCGCATGTACCCGCCAATCAGTAAACTAGGGGTTTATTAATCTATAGTCTATATTAATCTGCTGTTGATATTCTCAGAGTTTGAAACTGCTAGTAGAATATCAACACCAGATAAATAAACACCTACAATGTGGGGCCCCCTAGATAACTAAGTTGGTGCAAAGAACTCCAATAACTATATATAGTTTATGATACGCAAATGGATGCAAATAACGAACTAGTATTCATGGGCTTTATAAACCATTAAACATAACATTTTGGGGGTAAGACATAGATTTCATAGTTTTATAGAAAGTTATATATCTGCATTACAGTTTTATCCCAACAATCGTACTAACAATATGGGGAAACCTTTACCACTGGTAGATGGCAGTAGCTGCTGCACGGCTCGTCTGACGCAGGATGCAACACAAAGCAGTGACGGAACGGCCAGGCGCAGCGAGCGGTTGTTTGTTAGATAGGTCGGAAGATATTTATAGATAATGCTAATACTATTATAATATATATATATATATAATGTAATGATAAGAATACTAATTATGATAATAATACTAATAATTACTACTACCACTACTACCACTACTACTACTAATAATAATAACAATATATATAATACATATATGTGTGTGTAATATTTGTGATGTGATTACAATATGATATATATATATATGATATACAGTTTGGTGTTTTAATTTCGGAAAATTGAATTTCATTGGCTTTGGCTTGCTATCTTTGACTGCTTCATATACTTACCACTGACAACAGATGCTTACTCCGGGCTTCATGATCGGACTCAGTCAGACGAAAAAAAAGGATGTCTGACTGTCAAAATGGGTTGCAGACAGCCCACATATGATATTAAATTTTATATATATATATATATACATATATATATATATATGCATAGATATATACATAGATATAATGTATTGAATTGACATAGATATAATGTATATTCAGGATATTGTAGTCTCTATGTTTCAGTTGGATGTCGTATTGCTCAAAGCCATGGCTTTCAATCGTGGGGCATGTCAAAAAAACCTGGATGAACAGCAGATGGGATAGGGAGCAGATTGGAGCAGATGGGGTTCCGAACAATCTCAGCGTGAAGGGGTATGAATATGATATCCATGAATATTGATTTGTATCCCATATGCTCCATGGTGCTGGAATATTTACCAACATTTGCCCTAAAAATCGCCCAAATGTAGGTAAATATACCATACATGGAGCATATGGGTAATGATTTGTATATATTTATATACCAGGGACGTATGTACCACAGCAGGCACAGGAAAAGTTGGAATTGTCTGAAGGAAAACTCTCCAGCAAACCCCGGTGCAGATTTCTCTATGGAAAAAAATCCAGCGATTCTGACGACTGCAGCCTGGTTCACAGCCATCGCGAGGGTGAGCTCGACAGGGCTGACTTCAGGCTTGTGCCATGGCGTCCTCGGCAAGGTCCAGTGTTCATTCGCAGAACCGGTTGGCGGTTTTCGTCTTCCCGGGTGCTGCTGGTCATGTCAATCCATCGCTGCCCATCTGCCGAAGATTAGTGGACTTGGGCTGGCAGGCGGGCCGCGGCATTCAACGAAGTCGCTGTTTGAATTGGTGGTGATGTTGATGAACTTGTGCATGACGATGTGGGTTTGTCTGAAAATACATGGTACCCTAAAAGTTGATGATTAATCACCATACTCTCCACTCAAATTGCATTTTGGGGGGTATACAGTATTTTCTGACAACCCATGCTGGTTGGCAATTTGCAATGTATTTTTGTTTGTGTTTGTCATATATTCATTCTCTTTCAAGTTCTGAACGGTGGTCGCTTTGGGGAAAATGCCGGTCGGGTATGTGAATGGCCTAATGATCTTCATTTGCCACAAATGATTATGCACTCAGAAAATCATACCCAGCTGGCAAGAATGAACTTGTTTGCATCACTGGCCATTTCAGGAACCTAAATTGGAGGTACCTCCCATATATAAGGCCTATTTTTCAGGCCTATGTGAGGGAATATCCCCACAATTCATATGGCCTTATGTCTCAAGAGGCTGAGAGATTCTGAACATTCTAGGACCAGCCGGACCAGCTGCCTTGCTTACGATGGGCGTTGGAGTCCGACATGTCTTGAATGGCCACTATTCGATACGGAATAGTGGACCTACGTTTGCCACTTGTTTCTACGGACTTTTACCTGGTTGGTGGTTTGGAAGATGAATTTTATGACGTTCCATATATTGGGAATAGTAACCCCAACTGACGAACTCATATTTTTCAGAGGGGTAGGGCTCAACCACCAACCAGATTAGGATCAGTAGTGTCAGGTACTTCCCTTCCCATTGTATTCCACCATCTCCGTTGAATCCTCAGGTGGTATATGTCTGCAATCCAAGCTTTCAATCCGTCATTGAGGACGCCGGCCTTGAGAATCAGATTTGGGTCCATGTGATTCAATGTGTACAACGTGGGGCCCCTCACTGGGTCAAGCTTAGCTGGATACAAACTAATCCTAACTAGTCTTTTGGTATCAATGGGAATATCTACTAACCAGCAAAGAATTTGTTTTTTTGCAGGGTATCTAAGATTGGTAATGCTCAGTTGTGTTTAAAAAAACAAACGTGAGCGAGTTACAAAGCCCACACATACTATCGTATAGACGGCTCAATGCAAGAAGGTATGGGGCCGGGATGCAAGTTGAAGTCGGCTATCATCACAATGTAGCTATTGAAAATGGCCATTAATAGTGGATTTTCCCATTAACAATGGTGATTTTCCATAGTTTTTTGTATGTTTACCAGAGGGTAACAACGATTTGTGGGAAAAAAAGCAGGCCGCAGTGATCCGCAGTGAATGTTGAAATCCCATGGCTTTTGCCATGGGTTTCCCATATCGGCTTCAAGGGATCAGCATGCCCTGGTAGTACCGGATGACTTTCTTGTGAATGGGAGATTGTCAAATACCCGGCCTTTCAAGGCGGTTCTCATCATGTATCAACTAGGTCAAGCTTAGATGGATACAAACTAATCCCAACTAGTCTTTTGGTATGGGAATATCTACGTTCACCAGCAAAGAATTTGTCATTTTTTGCAGGGTATCTAAGATTGGCAATGTCAATATCTCAGATGTCTGCGAAAATGTGTACGTTCGCAAGATATCTGGAATATACTGAAATAATCATAAATAGTCTACTATTCTACCATCATTTTTTTTATCCCCAATTGAACATTTCTATTTTCTGCTTGTTTTGTTGGTTTCTTTTCTTCCACAGACGGTCGTTCGCACCGAGTCGCGAGTCGTAAGGAGACGGGTGCGGAGTTCCGCGACGTCAACGCTGTATGCGAAAGCTTCGGCGGCATCAGCGATCTGCGCGAGATGATTCTGCAGTCCATGGCAGAGTATCAGGCCAATGTCAGACGTAGAAGTCCGTTTTCAGCGCAGAAAACAGACTTGAATTGGCGGTTTTTGTTGATATGGTATCATACTAATATATGGCATTATATACCAGATATACACCTCATACTCAGAAATATTATAAATTCATTGCTCTATCCCATAGGATCCATGGTGCTGCTATATATGGTGCTCCATGGATCCCATCAATATCCCCCCTTTATGTAAACGCATATACACCAGCACCATGGATCCGTCATGGGTATATGAATCAATGATGATCAATGTACAATATGTCAGTCATGTTATGATACAAAAGGCTCGCCTGCCGGGGTCGATCCATGGCTCCCAATGGCTCCAAGCCTTATTTCTTGCCATCGAAAAATCTGTCAAAAGATGATTTTAGGGGATATTTATTTCCAATGATTATAGATATAGCTGTCAGAGTTGCTGAAGTCATCTCATACAAAAAAAACACTTACCCTCTGGTTATTTAACATAGCCATGGTATAGATGGCCCATAGAAATAGATGACTTTCCCAGCTAGAAACCTCCATTTATCATTGGGATTTTCCATGGCTATGTTAAATAGCCGGATGGTAAGTGGCAAGTCATCCAAGTCTTCGAGCGGAGTTCCAGGGTATTTTTCGTTGGCTTACCCTCTAGTAAACTAACATAATTATATATGGAAATTCACCATGTTTAATGCCATATGGGTAAATCAACTATTTCGACTGCGCCATGTTCCAGTTCGCAAAGTGTTAAAGTAAATTACCAGAGGGTATATCCATATCTTCCATATCCATATGTGTTATCTCATTTACCCTCTGGTAAACTAACATAACTTGACAGATCTTCGCTTGATTGAACAGTCGTCTTTTGGGTGACCTCACAAGACCGGCCTCGCTTTTGGCAGAAGCATCCAGGCTTTACATCCTCGACTTGCACTTAGTACATCTATAGATCTATGTCAATCTTAGTAAAGCCTGGATAGTATCTATTTAGTACATTACTATTTAGTACATTACTATCTAGGTCAATCTTAGATGGATACTTTAATGATCACAGGCTTTATGGTGGTAGATATATCTACAATGTGAGGCCCCCCAGTGATGTGAATCTTGGTTTAGATTCGCCCCAGTAACTAGTTCGTTATAAGTACCATAAACCATAGTTATTGGAGTTATTTGCACCAACTTTGCTATCTTGGGGGCCTCACATTACTATGGATTACTGTAGCAAACTGTAAGAAATTACCAGAGGGTACCAATCAGGCAAGGGGATAACTGTGAATGAAGAGAACTCATGACTGGAAATTCTATCTAGGGCAATCTTAGATGGATACTTTAATATTAGTCTTTTGGTATCAGTGGGAGTATCTACCAACCAGCTAAAAAAGTTTTTTTTTTGCAGGGTACCTAAGATTGGCATTGCTATGGATTACTATATAGAATTAAATACAATACTATACATGTATAGTATGTAGTAATGTATAGTATATTATAAATCATATGGATTACTATAACATACTATGCATTACTACAAGGTGAGGCCTCAGTTCAAAGTTGGTTTATCAAGCCAACTACAATTATATCCCCCATAAACACGACAGTGAAGCAACTTATAAGCTGAACTTATGCCTTATAAAGTATATCAAATTTAGCAAAATCAGTATAAATCATATGGATTCCATATCGTATTCCTATACAGTTACAGTACCTTTAAATATCAACATACAATGTGAGGACCCCCAGTGATGTGTGATGGTTTATAACCCCCATTACTACTATAGATATTTAATGTTATTTGCGTATCATAAATCATAGTGACATTGGAGTTATTATTTGAACCAACTTATTTATCGAAAACGGGGGCCCCACAGAACGTAAGATATGCAGACCTGGGGCGAGGATCCTGGAGCAAAGATGTGGGCCATGAATTTCGGCAGCATCGCCACAGAACGACCCTGAGCTGCTTTTGTGTGTGTCATTTCGCTGGTTTTGGCGGGTGGTTTGAACAGAAAGTGTGATGTCCATCCTATTTTTGGGGATGATGATGATGATGATGCTGGTGGTGGTGGTGGTGGTGGTGATCCTCAATTCTCAATTTACCATGTTTTTTCCCGGAGAGGATGAAACCACCAGTGATGCTTCATGTTGATGCCGCCCGGCGCAAGGGTCGCAAGGGTCGCAAGGCACAGGGAGGATCATCCTACTTGGTATCTGGTTGGAAACCATAGTTGTTTTCCATAAAAATCGTAGGATAATCCACTGGAATATCAAGCATTCAGGTGGGATGATCCTCCAAGTATGGAATCATGGAATTACTGTTATTGATGTTTTATTGATGTTTATAAAAGGGAACTGCGGCTTGCTAGTTCCCATAGGTAGTATGATGGGGTGTCCAAGACATTTTTCCAATGATGTTTTCATTTAAGGCTTGAGGCTTGATCAAAATGCTGCCTAGAATCGGCAGTTTAAGCCATTCGGCATCGACTTCTGCATTGAACCAGCCAACACTGTATAATTACCTTGTTACCCTCTGGTAAACAAACATAGCTATAGAAAATTGCACATTTATAGTTGTTTTACCCATGAAAAGTGATGGTTTTCCATAGTTATGTTTGTTTACCAGAGGGTAACCAAAGCCCATTTTTCACGAGTTGAATTCCTTGGTTTCAATGACATCTCCTTCTTGACAGCCCATTGGACCAGCTGAGGACTCATTCCAATTTTCGCCGACTTTTTCAAGGAGCTTTCTCCCAAATTGCTGATTTATTGTGCCTGGAGCAAGAAAGAAAGGCGGTAATAGCTGTGGTATGTCTAGAAAATGTGAGGCAAAACATATATATATAATTATATATATATATTAACTAAGTAATAAATCATGACAAATCTAAATATCATGAACTGATATGAACTGGGGATGCTGGTACCTACATGCCATCAACTGCCACCAACTGGCTTTCTTCATACAGCATGAAGGTGCATGAGGGCGGACCGGTTCGACAGTACACAGAATCAAAGTTTGAGTTGCTGGGATTATACACGACACGCTGGGGCCTCACCTTGTACACAAAATCCTTAAATTTTGCTGAACTCAGCATTTTCCTTTGGTTGTCCTATCGTTTTCTGATGGTTTTCCCATGGTTTGAATGGCCCGCCTGTGAGGTCCTGTCCTCTGTCCCTACGCCCACTTCGCCGCGTCGTTGCTCCCCAAGCTGCGCAGCGTCTCGCTCCTGACGGCCGCCGGGCCGGGCTACTGGGACGCGGCGTTCAAGGCCCACGGCGGCACGGCACAACAGCTGGTCGAGACCATCGCGAAGCTGGGGACAGGATTGGACACCGGAAATTGATGGGAAGAACTTTAGGAACATGGGAAATTGGGAAATCATCCAGTTACCCTCTGGTAATTTAACATAACTAAGGAAAATCACAATTTTTCATGGGAAAATCCACTATAAATGGTCATTTTCAATAGCTATGTTAAATTACCAGAGGGTAATTAGTAAGTTTATCAGCCATAACAGGGAATAACTTTACTTATAGTATCTTATAGTCTTATAGTATATATGGATGGCTGATAGAACTAGGAAATCCATGGGAAATGCATGGGAACATGGGAAATCATCAAGATCCAGTTAAGTAATGTTAAGCAAGTTGTGATTTATTAAACTCATATAACTGAATATTCCACAAGTAAAGTGGTTTATCAGCCATCCAACCTATACTATGGTTTTATAAACCACTTAGTATTATACTATGGATGTGGTTTATATATAAGCCATTAATTGGGAATATTCCATATATAACTATACTGGGGTATGGTTATTATCCACTTACCAAGTGGGATGCACCACTAAGTAGCCATACAATCTGGATGAATTTTCCCCAAATGGCCGCAAGTTTCTTCGAGTTTCAGGTCAGTGAATTATTGTAATCCAGCCAGAGATAACTTCCACTATGGATTTATACAGGTATTGGTGAAATCCATAGGAAATCCATCGGAAAACCATGGTTCACATTTTATCCAATTGTTGTTCGTGGTTTCTAACCCAAAAAAATAACCCACCTGGAAAGCCATAAAATCTGGATTAATCATTCCCAGTCATGGGAGTTTCCAAAGTCATGGGGGATCCCTAGTCGTCACCATAGGTTAACCAGTGATTTCGGAAAAGCTACGACGACAGGATTCTGTGTTGGGTTTCATCCCCAACCAACTGGATGGGTAGAGTTTCTAATCCTTGAGTTTTTTGCTACAATGTGGGGCCCCCCAGTGATGTGAATGTTGGTTTATACACCCCCATAACTATAGTTATAAGATGTTATAAGTACCATAAACCATAGTTATTGGAGTTATAAAACAACTTGGCTATCTTGGGGGCCCCACATTGTATAATCATAAGAAAATACTCAGCATAAGATGACATGTTTTTGTGGACTCTCAAAAATTGACCATGATACCAATGCCATACACTTGATTTTCAATCATGTTTTATGAATATGTTTAACGATGCTTCCTGTAAAGTTTGTTTAGTGATGTAATTGTATGAGTTTTCTTGAATATGTTGTGAATGATGACTGGTTATTAATGTTGAATATATCTAAAATTATGAATATTTATTGAATGTTTATATTTAATGTTTATGAATAGTTTTTGTTTTATTTAATTTATAGCTGTATATAGCTGTTTATTTATTTAATGTTGAATGATGTGTTTATTAATGTTTGACTTTGGATGTCTTGCCGTTTTTTTGTTCGGAGGAGGATCTATGGAACTGCGAAGATCTGACAGTCATCTTTCGGGAATACTTTGAATTAATGACAGGTCAACCAGAAACCATGGTTTTTACCATGAAACTATGGGAAAATATGTGGTACAATGGAAATGATGATAACTGCTACTGGGGAAACCATGGTGGTGTGGTTGAAGTTATTGAAAATACCCCATAGAAATAGATATCTATAGTTGATTTACCCAGATTTTCCATAGTTATGTTAGGAAACCATAATGGGAAAATCATACCTTGAAAATGATGGGAAAATAATGGGAAAATGGAGAATTCAATATATCATAATATAATTCAATAATAATGACAGAAACCAGAAACCATGGTTTTTACCATGAAATATAGGGGTTTTAAGCCACAATTGTTCAGAAAAACTATGGGAAAATATGTGGTTTAATGGAAATTATGATAACTGCTACTGGGGATATGTCCAACAGATTATCTACTAAGTTACTAGGTCAATCTTAGATGGATACAAACTAATCCTAACTAGTCTTTTGGTATTAATGGAAATATCTACGTTCACCAGCAAAGAATTTGTCATTTTTTGCAGGGTATCTAAGATTGGCAATGAATAGAAACACAAAATTTACCGAAAGATTTGTGTTTTAATGAGCTGGTTTAAGGGAAAATCGAAACCAGAAACCATAGTTTTTAATATAGGGGTTTCCGGATGTTTTTTTTTGCAAGGATATACTAGGGACTAGGTAAATCTTGGATGGGTACAAACTAATCCTAACATATCCTAACTAGTCTTTTGGTATGGGAATATCTACGTTCACCAGCTAAGAACTGAATTTTTTTCCAGGGTATCTAAGATTGGCAATGTTTACCCTCTGGTAAACTAACATAACTATGGAAAATCACAATTTTTCATGGGTAAATCCACTATTTCTATGGCCATTTTTCTTGTTTTTTGTGGTTGAACATGGACCCAGTTGTGTTTTTTTTGCTTCCCACGGGCAGATTGTTCCGGTTGGGGATCCGTTTGCTCCAAGGAAAAATGAGGCCAATCAGGTGGCGGTGTCCAAGATTCGAGTGAAGTTGGAGCAGCCAAGGATGTAACTTGCTGGTGTGGTTAAAGTTTCCCCATAGGAAATGGGTATATATATGGTTATTAATAGTGGTTAATGGTTATTAATGGTGGTTTTCATGGCTAGTTGACTGAATTGGGAAATGGTCCATTTCTAGAACTACCATCTGGAAAATGGTCCATTTCTAGAGGATAAACATGATGATTTACCTATCCAAAGTTGTGATTTTCCAGTTCGCTACGTTAGTCAGAACCAAACGGTAATTCATCCATTTGGGTATGGATCAATATCTATGAAAATACCATTTTTAGGTTATGAACATCCATAAATCACAGCTATTTTGATGTGAACAGAAGGGGTACAAGGTTTTGACACACTGCCAAATAGCGTTTTTTCATATGGTTTAATGGGCTTCAACCAACAATAGCAGTGATGAATTGATGGTATATTCTAATGGGTACTACTTGGTAATGGTTGCTTTAAAGCCACAATTCTTCAGGAAAAAACTATGGGCAAATATGTGGTTTAATGGGAAATTATGATAACTGCTACTGGGGATATGTCCAACAGATTATCTACTAGGTCAATCTTAGATGGATACAAACTAATCCTAACTAGTCTTTTGGTATTAATGGGAATGTCTACTAACCAGCAAAGAATTTATTTTTTTGAAGGGTATCTAAGATTGGCAATAATAAGTGTTGGGATGTTTTTTTTTTGGATTTGAAAACCCAATGTTTTGTTCAATTAGTTGTTGGGATTGTAATTTTGATGTGAACTATTTGGAGTTACAAACCAACTTATTTTATAAGTACCATACACTATTTTATAAGTACCATAAACCATAGTTATTGGAGTTATTTGCACCAACTTAGCTATCTTGGGGCCCCACATTGTATAGTTTGTGGGGTTTCTAAAGCAACTTAGCTAAAATATTATTTGATTAACCATGTAAAATTGGGATTTATAGCAATTGAAGGGGAGGTAGCTCCATGGCATCACTGGTTTCAAAACCCATCCGAAACCTGCGATTGTTGATGAGAAAAAAGCCGTTGCGATTTGTTTGTGAAACTTTCTAAACCATATATACATTACAAAATGATACATATATATATAAAGCATGGTCGGGATATTATTGTAGTATTACTATGTGTATTAATAAATAGAATATATTAAAACTGGGAGTTGGTGACTGTGCAAAAGTTCCTTCAGACGGAGTTTCCTGGAAGTCGCGACGTATCTAAGGTCCCTCAACACTTCGGAACCTTTGGTGCAGGACAGGATTCTCCGGTTGAGAAAAATGCTTCACCTGTCTACATTTGGGTTTGATTGAACATATGGTACCTCTAGATCCATTGATATCCATTGGTTTATCATCATTTTCCCGACTACATGGCAATTTTATGGGCAATGTCAACCCCGGATTAATAAACCCTAGGCTGTTCAATTGGGGGGGTACCATTTCAGTAGCCATTTATTACTATTTGGGGGGAACCACCACAATTAATCAACCAGGGTTTATTAATCCGGCGTTGACATTATACATCATTTTCAGACATCCCCATTTCCCGCATTTCACTGGGGAAAATTGAAAGTCACTACAACTGAACTTTGCAGTGTACAATCGAAGTTCGTGCACTTTCATTGGGGTCTACATGGGTCGTTTAATGTGATATTTACCACAAAAAGCACAGACACCCATGATTCCCATGATGTTTACATTCGAAGTAGCAAAGGTAGGTTCCCAAAACAATTGGAATACTAACTATTATTCCAATGATCCTTTATTTGATTTCAACAATTCGTTCAAAACGTTCATAAAATTTTCGATTAGTACAATTAGTGCAATAATTTCTATTTTTTTTTCACTATAAAAAGCTCGAATCCTTCCAAGAATCCTATCAATTCCTTTCTCCACAAAACACATCAAAACACCGAAGACTTGCCTAACCCCGAACAACTCATTACTTAACCTCGAACAGGTTATAGCTTAACCTTGAACAACTGTCTTTCCTAACCTTGACTTGAGGCGCGTGTCTCCCAAAACACCAGGATTACTATGCACCGCTGAACTTAGTCACAACCCTTCCATCCCTGGCCGATCCGCGACTTGGTTTTGACGACGCGACTTGGGGCGCTTGCCATAGATTTTTTTTGGGGATCTGATGCGATTTTTTTCTCGGATTTAACAGATTTAACAGCGGGGATTAACCCGCAAAAACAGGCGGATATTTTTTTTTATATCATTTTTTACATGTTATAACTATAAGTACACCTCCAAGTTCATTCCGGTTTATGAGGCTAGATATTTTTTATGATATATCTAGAGTTTATGGGGGCCCCTTAAGAAAGCGCTCTGTTGGTTTATAAGTGGCTGAATTCAATGGTTTATGGTATATAGATATAACGAACTAGTGAATGGGGACTATTTCATGGTGTATAAACCAACAAAGATTACTTGGGGATTCCAAATCAATTTAGCTCTAAGATTATGCCAATTACCAGTGTCATCACACGTGGCTGGAACTTTCAGCTGTGGCCCAGCCATAGCTGGGATGTTCCATTGCTATGTTTGATTCCGGGTAAGTCCAATCATCATAGGCTTTATGGTGGTAGATATATCTATAGTTTGTGGGGCTTCTTTTATCCAACTCTAAAATACTAGGTCAATCTTAGAATCAGAAGGAGACAAACTAATCCTAACTAGTCTTTTGGTATCAATAGGAATATCTACGCTCACCAGCTAAGGATTTATTTTTTTGCAGGGTATCCAAGATTGGCAATGAATAGAACTTCAACCCCCCAAAAAAAGTTTGGTTTGGTTGATGGGGATTTAGCGCACGTCAGAAATGGAAATATCATGGAATACCATCATTCATGTAACCAACCATAGAAGTTTCATGGAAATATCATGGAACTATCATGGAACTATCATGGAAATATCATGAACATATCATGGAAATATCATGAACATATCATGGAAATATCATGGATAACCTAAGAAACTCAGGGTTGCTCCAACAAACCAAACTTGGGGACAGACCTTTGATAATGTCAATCCGCATGAGACCGAACCTGGGTTGATTAATTGGGGTGTTCTCACCAAGTAGTGATAATTTATGATAATTTGCTACTTAATGGACCCAACCCCAATAAAACAGCCTACAGGGGGTTATTAATCCACGATTGACATTGCATCACAAATCCATACAGAAGTGGGTTTGGAGGACCCGATGTCCATGTGTTGTCTTAGAATAGCTGACAGAAGAGGACTTCAGCTTCGGCCTGGCTTCAGACTGGTCAGTTCACTTGCTGAAGCTGAGTTGGCTATATGGAGGTTTCCTGAAATGGGGGTACCCCCAAATTATCCATTTTAATATGATGTTCCATGGTGAATCACCATGTTCATCCATTTTCCCCATCAAGATTTCCAGTTGGTTGTACGGTTGTACACCTCATTTTTCAGACACACCCATATATTTCCATATGCTCCATGGTGCTGGAATATTTACCAACATTTGCCCGAACAAAATCACCCAAATGTACAGTGTGGGCCCCCCTCGATAAATAAGTTGGTTTATAATTCCAATAACTATGGTTTATGATACTTATAACTATAGTATAGCTATAGTATAACTATAGTTAATGGTGTTTATAAACCATCAAACATACCTGGGGGGGGGGCACATTGTAGGTAATATACCAGCACCATGGTTCGCATCTGGGATTACCCAGCTAGAAATGATGTGTGGCGGAGATCGAAGCAGTTTAAGTGGGCTATGGGCATCCTTCATGCCAAGAAAAAAAGGCGTCCCAAAAAGGAGGTACCGCAAATTTCCTGACATCATCGATGTCATTAGACCACTCTCGTATTGAAACAATGATGGTCAGTTTATGTTAGTTTTGGGTGTTCCTTTCAGAAATCACCAAATCTGGTGCAACTTTCCCCAACATTTCCAGAAATCTCCAAGATTTCAGAAATCCCCAACATTTTCTTTCAGAAATGCACAACATTTCCTTTCAGAATTCCCCCAAGATTTCCGAAATCAGAAATCCCCAACATTTCTCACTGAGGTTGAGCGAAAAAGATGCAGGCGTGTACTTTGCCCAAGGTCACTGGGTCACAAAAGAAACCTTGAAGGACGACCAAGAAATAGATCGGAAAACTGCTTCGTAACTGGGGTTGGCCTCTGGTAAACTAACGTTTTGCGAACTGGAAAATCACCTTGTTTGAAGGTAAATCAGCTATTTTTATGGCTCATTTTCCATAGCTATGTTGGCATACTGGAGGGTATATACCGCAAGCCATGAAAAAATGGGATAAGCCTAGTGGGAAACTCACTCACCAGGGATATTAACCATTTACAAAAAAGAACTGAGGGTTGGACATACTGCGGATGGAAGTACTGCACCAGTTGGACAGTATTGGTATCTATGAAAAATTGTAAATACTGAGATTATAATTGGATTATAATGGGATTATATGGTATTATAATACTGGGATTATAATGGGATTATTATGGGATTAGATGGTTTTTATAATACTGGGATTATAATGGGATTATATGGTATTATTATGGGTTATAATAGGATTATAATGGGATTAGATGGTTTTTATCATACTGGGATTATAATGGGATTATATGGGAAATAATGGGATTATAATGGGATACCCTTCAGCAAAATAACATTGCCATTGAAAATGGACCAAAAAATAGATGATTTGCCTCTCAAAATTGTGATTTTCCATAGCGCGAACTGTTCGTCTGAGGGTAAATCATCTACCAACTGGTGAGGCCCCCGTTGGATAGCTAAGTTGGTGCACATAAATCCAATTTCACTATGGTTTATGGTACGCAAATAACGAACTAGTTACTGGGGCGAATCTAAACCAACATTCACATCACTGGGGGGCCTCACATTGTACCAACTGGTGCCTCAGATTTCTTCCATGATGTAACCCCCTTTTTTCGGCCACCTCCTTGTACAAAACGGGTGTTGAGAGCAATGCTGTGAGAAAGTGTTTTCCGACCTTCTGGATACTCAAATGTTCAACGCCTAGTGTAGATGGAAGAAATCCTGCATCACTTGATAGGTGGTTTATCTCATTATTTATATCATTGGATTGGTTTAAGGGAAAATCTACCGGAAACCATGGTTTTTACCATTAAATATGGGGTTTTCCGGTTTCAATTTTCCCTGAAACCAATCCAATGATTATAGAGTTTCAACATGTTTCAACCATCCAAGCTTGTGCAGGGTTTCCATCCATAGTATGATGGTCAAAGAGAGCTTCAGGACCCATGGCTTGAAGGTGACTACAAAGTGGTGCCCCCCAGTTATAAATTGGTTTATAACCCTATTAACTATAGTTATAAGTACCATAAACCATAGTTATTGGAGTTATAAACCAACTTAGCTATCTAGGGGGCCCCACATTGTAGGATGTTGGAGGACCTCTGCTTTTACCAAAAAGATTCTGCGATCGCAACTATCCCATGGAGGCAAACCTGATTGCTGAGCATTGAGACCCAAAAACGCGAGGCAAGAAGTTCGAATTCGTCGGTCCTCTACTGGTTCCAGCACCATCCGAAGCTGCGCCTGCGAGCGCGGAGGACACGTCGAAGCTGTTCGAAGAAATCGGAGGGGTGGAAGCAGGACGTGAAATTGTCTACGTTTCTTGGCTGAGTCATGGTGGTTTCAATCATGTTTTATGAATTTCCATATATTGGGAATTTCATAACCCCAACCGACGAACTCATATTTTTCAGGGGGGTAGGTATACCACCAACGTTTCTTGGTCTTGTCATGGTGCAGCTTCTTGTGATGTGCTAAGTCATCGGCCTGAGCGGCAACATATCTGCCCCCCGAAGAGATTTTGTATGTTGTAAATCACCATAATACCATCAATGGATATAATTGGGTGGTATAAACTATCCCCAGTCATGGTCGGTTTATAGCATTGGCTTTTCCACATTGATATTTATTCAGCTGCTTACTGTTGTGCAACATGTCCCAGTGATTTTGCCTTTCCGTTGTGACATGGCAACAATGTCTGACCACAGAACTCTGGCAGGTTTCTATGGGCACAGTGGTCACTGGGAACCATGAGGAGTATGGCTGGCGAGGCTGCAGCGGTACCGTGCTCACCGGGAAGCAGATTTGCCAGGCGGTTTATGGTGCTGTTCAAAGAACTTGGCGAAGTGGATGGCGCCAGCTCCCCCTTGGTGATTCTGTCCGTAGGTCTCCAGTGGCTCGACGATTATCCGGAAAATTCGGAAGCACTTTGGGATTTTAGTGATTCAAAATCAGTTGTAATGTGGGTAGAACAATTAATAAGCCATCCCCCAGTCATCACCACAAATAGGTGGTATAAACCATTCCCAGTCATGGATGGTTTATGATTGTTTTATCCACAAAATCGTTGTTTTGTTGTGGATTTTAGGGCGTTGGCGACTCCAGTTTTTGTATTGATTTGACTAAGATGGCAATCGCATGATGTTGTTGGGATTGATGCCCATCATTCCCGGGTTAAGGATCAAGAAAAAATATAATTGGTATCAAAAATAATACCCAAAAGGATCAACAAACACTTATCTTCCTGGAATCAATGGCCATTTCAGGAACCTAAATTGGAGGTACCCACCATATATAAGGCCTAGTTTTCAGGCCTATGTAAGGGAATATCCCCACAATTCATATGGCCAAACATATGGTACTAACGTACCTCCATCTGTTGGATCCTGGAGATCTCCCATTGATGGATTGGCTCAAGATGGTGTGTTTTGTTTCTTCCATTGGTTGATTCACCATGTGGGAAAACCATGGATGAGTTTCTGTTCTTGGCCCGAACTTGGTCCCTACAATGTGGGGCCCCCCAGTTATAAGTTGGTGTATAAACCCCCATAACTATGGTTTATGATACTTATAACTATAGTATAACTATAGTTAATGGTGTTTATAAACCATCAAACATACCTGGGGGGGGCCACATTGTAGGTAATATACCAGCACCATGGTTCGCATTTGGGGTTACCCATAAACCATAAACCATAGTTATTGGAGTTATAAACCAACTTGGCTATCTTGGGGGCCCCACATTGTAGTACAGTGTATTTAGTAGTCATCTTAAACCATCTAAAACCCATCTAGAATCATCTTCCAAATGAACCTCTACAAACTCAGAGATTATCTATCTATATATATATGTATATTATATA